TCTCCACGTGGTCGCTGGAGATGACCCCGGTGCGTCCCTGGCCCAGCGTCGGGTAGAGAGGTGGTCTCGGGAACATTGTATGCCCGGGCTAGCCTCCAGCGCGGAAGCCCCCTGGGTCTCCATCTCCCGAGCAGCTGGGATTGCGGGATGAAGGCACCGCCACAGCTCCCATGTCTGGTTCTCAGAACCCCCCCCCCCCACACACACATCTCCAACTATGGAGACTCTTGTCAGGGTCCCTAGTGACCTTCATGCTGCTAAGTCCGTACTTACCCTTCCATTCTCACCCCACCTGGCCTCCCAGCAGAACGTGGGGCTGCTGGCATCCGCTTCCCCCCAGCCTCTGGATGCCACACCATATTCAAACCATAGCAGATTGTCTTACATCTCCCCCCCCCCCGCCCTTTTTTTTGCTGGTCCCGGAGCTTGAACTCTGGGCCTGGGCACTATCTCTGGGCTCCTTTTGTTCAAGACTAGCACTCCACAGGTTGAGCCACAGTGCCATTTTTGGCCTTTTCTGTGATTAATTGGAGATAAGAGTCTCACAGACTTTCTTGCCAGGACTGGCTTCGAATCACTATCCTCAGGTCTCAGCATCCCAAGTAGCTAGGATTCGTGAGCCACGAACACCTGGCTTCATCCATGTGTTTCCAGACACCAAATCTATAAACCTACTTCTCTCATCTTGATCTCCTGGCTAAACCCCAGCTGCATATATCTCAGAAGTCCCCAACTCTTTCTGCAAGAGGAAACACTTAGAAATATACTTAACCATACATGGAGTGTGCACCTTTCTTCTGTAATTCAGTATCACTAATTGGGTACCATGATCATTGCCAGCAGCTCAAAGACTTGTCTGCTATTTTTTTTTTTGGGGGGGGGAGTCTGGTCGTGGGTCCTGAACTCTGGGCCTGGGCGCTGTCCCTCAGCTCTTCAGCTCAAGGCTATCACTCTACCACTTGAGCCATAGCGCCACTTCCGGCTTTTTTCTTTTTTCTTATGTGGTGCTGAGGAATCGAACCCAAGGCCTCAGGCATGCAAGGCAAGCACTCTACCACTGAACCACCTTCCCAGCCCCTTGTCTGCTATTTTTGATGAAGGAACAGCCTGGAAAAGGGCTGGGCACTGGGAGGATGGAGAGAACTTTGCTCTCCCCACTGTTTGGAAAGCACTTTGCAAACCATAATATACTAGACAATGTGCTGTTATTTTTGCCATGGGGATTTTTCATTGACATTTATGGAATGAATTGTCCTGCAGTGTATTAAGATAACTCCATGTATCAGTCTGTTTGATGCACATTTTTTCAGGCTAGCCTTTATTTTCTGTTTGATGGATGAGAGTTTTTACTTCCCTATTTTATGACACAATTCATTTTACATCGTTGATCTGGCTCATAAAGAGAGGACTAGACCATCTTGACTTAGCTGCTAACATGCAGAAAATTTCTTTATCATGTTATCTTTAAATAAATTATAATTGATTTGACATATGTATACACAAAGATACTTAGAGAAAACACATGTGTGAAAGCTAAATAAAACTGAGAAAGTATCACATGTGTTATTTGTATATACATACATGTACACACACAGACATCAACAAACACACATGCACACACATATGCACCAGGGTGAGTAATTCCTGGGTGTTCTTTGGTCTTCAACTTGTCACTCCATCACAGAGTAATTGAGATAAACTTTGGGGTACTTTTCAAAAGTGATTCAGCAGCTAATAAGGAATACGAACTTTAGTCACATATGAAGTTATAGTTTAGTAAATGACCTCTGAAGGAAAAACTAACCAACTGAAACTTGGCAAATTATTCCTCTTATCTTTATTTGGAAGTTAGAAAATAAATACTGATGTGTTTAGTCGAGCAGTGTGGGGAAGGGAGGGATAAATTGTGGTGTAGATTCTCCCTCCAAGTCATCTGACCTTGTGCAAGATGGTTTCATGGTCTGGGAGCATAATTTTGTTCTAGAGGCAATAATACTTACCTTGCTTAGGGACTCGAATTGTTATTCAATATTATGTCTTGGCATTTATCTCCTTGTATAAAATTTCCTACAAGGCTATATGAATAGCTCTAAATATATATATGAAAAAAACACGGCAAAGTCATCAAGAAATACAGGGGCTTTCAACAAGGGAATCCTGAGGGAGCTTGAATTTTGAGATGAAGAACGGCATATTTCTGTTGCCATTTTTAAAAAAGACTCCAGGAGACTATTACTAAGGACATCATTTTACTCCTCTGCCCTTAAAAAAAGGCATAGAAAGCTTTTCAAAGGCTCCTTAGGCGAGAACAACTCACCTTCAGACAGCGTCAGGGAATGACAAGTAGCAGAAGGGAATCTGAGGATGTTCCTGGCCTTTCCTTCTTAGGACATTCTGGTCAGACTGTCCATGTGGGGCGAGCAGGAGAGAGAGCTTTTAAATGGCCAGGCACTGGGCTAGACAGGGCTGAGGTGCGGCCTGACCGCAGTCAATAGATGACTTCTGGAATGTGTCATTCTCTGTGTCTGGGGGTCCCTCCCATGGGAGGGTGACACCCCTCTAGAATGTTCTGGGAAGCAGATAAGAGCATTCTGAGTTACAGTGTGAACCCTGCAGAGCTGAGCACAAATCTGCTGGAAGAACATTGAACAATGAACTTCCAACACACCGCAAAGTCACGGATGCTCTAGAACAGTCTGAGCTGGCCCTGGGCTAGGGGAGGGAGGGAGGAGTGGCAGTTGAGCAGGGTTTCTGTCCAGTAGCCAGGACCTGGGCCTCGCCCTGACAGCCTGACAGGATGGGGTGCAGAGAAGTCATCTTGTGTGGCAGAATCGCAGAAGAGAGATGTGGAGACAGGAGACGGCAGAGCACATCCTCAGCAAACTTGGTCTGAGGGTGCCGTGAACCTGGGCAGGTAGCGGAAGTCCTGCCCTTGGTCTAGCTGAAGAGCAGACAGCCAAGTCCTCTTATTTCTGCTTGCAGTCTCTTCCATAGCGTGTCACATAGCCACTGGAACCCATAAAGTAGGAAAGAGCAAGTCCCATGTATTTTAGTAATACCACAAACATAGTTTTACCCACACCCCCTCCCCTTTGAGGGGTCTAGGGGACCCCCAGGTTCTCTAGGACACACTTTGAGAACCACTGTTCTGGTTCACCCCTTAAACACTTACTAATCAAAGATTCAGAAGCAGAAAGCAGTGGATGCATACTGTGGTCAGCACACCGCAGATGGTGGAGCTGGGGACCAGCACCTCAGCAAAACTGAGGTCACTCCCAGGTCCCCGTCAGAGGTGGACTCTTGGGGCTGCCTCCTTGGTCCAGCTAATGGGCTCAGGACAGCCACTTTGCGTTGGCAAGAGGGACAGACAGCTGTTGTCCCTGCAACTCCAGGGCCACGTCTGTGCTTCTGAGAGCCACAGCTGTTTCTCAGCCCACACAGCCTTGGTAGAGTGCTGGTTGGCTAGGTGATCTCAGATCCTGGACAGTGTTAAGGACCCCATTTCCCCAAAGCGCTGTTCTGCACACAGTTTCCTCTCATACTTGGACTCCTTTCAGGGAAGAACATTGTATGAGCACATTTTTCTGGTATTTAGTATGTCTGCTTTATTTCTTACATGAAATGAGATGTATATCTTAAGCGAGTTGGTTTTTTTTTTTTTTTTTGAACCATGTAATTTAGCACTGGCTAGTTACATTCTCCTCTTCCCTAGAAGATTCTTTCTCACTCATGGAGATGATCATCTCTTTTTCTTTTGATTCAAACATTGATGTTCTGTCGTCTGTATTTCCAAAGTATTGCCTTCATTTACCCTTGAGTCCTGATCTTACTCCTAAAAACTGCAAAAGCAATATACCTTGGAAAGCATGAAAAATGGAGTCATGTCTAAAGAGCAAAGCCTACCACCACTGCTCAACACCTCTCACGCAGCCTCTTGTAGCATGCCATGGTGTGTTCTTTAGACTTCATTCTGCACACTACCCTGCGTCTGGCCTCATGGTTAAACAGAGCCATAGGTTTTTTTAAAGGAAGGCCATTTTGATAATAAAATGTGGCTATTTTGGAGGACTTAGCTGCATTGGTTGCTGAGTTCAGCTTCTGGATACCATGCCAATGGCCCCAAGTCTG